CTTTCTAATAGAGAGATGGCCTGTTCACTGTTTTCTTGCCCACCAAGTGACGAAGATGTTCGAGAGACGACTTTTGCAACATGATGTACCTCACGCTTTTGTCAACCCAGCCTAATCATCGTCTGGCGGCCGCCGTACTTATAGATTCTGACTCCATTTTTGTCGATTCAAACATTAAGATTCTAGTGCTAACGCAGTATTGCAGATGATGGATCTTTGAGTGTAGAAGAACAGGCCTCTATCAACGTCGATGCACTGGTTAACGACAGCGATAATGAGCCAATACGACCCGCTCCAAGCACTCCACTAAGCGGCCAATTCTTCGAGCATCCTCGCCGATCGACTCCTACTATACCGCCTGGCTTCACAGCACCAGCAATTCCCAAAGCAGTCCTTGAAGAGTCACGTTCGCGTGCTGGATCTCGACCAATGTCCCGTACTACATCCTCGACCATCATACCGGCCGTGCCTGTTGTACCTGCCACGCCGCTTCCCAACTCAACTCCTAACAAGAATACCAAGGGCAAGCAGAAGAGTGAGATCATCCAACCTGCGACTCCTGCAGCAGCACCTAGTGCGACCACAGTCTCCAAGCCTTCGCCTGTACCTACGACGCCCTCGAGGACGACGCCCAAGGAAGCAGTTGTCGTTCCCCAGACACCCAAGGAACCCACACCCAGAGAGGCCTCGAAAGCAGCGAAAGAAGAAGTTATGCAGACACCCAAGTCGACCCCAGATGCTAAGAAGTCAATGGCGGAGACGATAAGCAAGGACACGCCAAAGTCGAAGGGTGCTTCTAAGAAGACTCAAGCTGCAGTTCAGACCACCCCAAAGAGAGAGCCACAGAAAGAGACATCGCGCACTCCTGCGGCGACTGCGACACCTCCAGCTTCGACCAAGCGACAGCCTCCTGGCAAGCTCGATATTCAAGCAGCAACTAAACTGCCAGTTGAAGCTGGCTCTCCAGCTCCAACCTCATCTAAAACAGACTCTCAGGCAAAAAGCAGTCGTTCTGTGCCAACGACATCAGCTGGTTCTGTACCTCCAAGTCCCGCCGCAGCGGTGACTGGATCGCCAATCAAGCGCGCGGGTGCTCCGAGGACTTTGCGTGTCGTCGCAACACCAAAGACAGAAGTGCCACCGCCTGTTTCGGCGGCATCACAACCGTCCTTGCCTCAGATCCCAACGGTCGACAAGCTTCGATCTAGGCAAGCGAGTATCGCTTCCGTCAATATACCAGGCACACCGAGCGAAATGATATCGGACACTGCTTCAGTTACTTCGACATCATTTTCCAGGGCCAGCTCACCGCCTCCGATCGGCGGTAAGGTCGGGACTGCGCCTGTTAGGAAGAAGACAAAGTCACAGGCCAAGAAGGATAGGCAAGAGCGGAAGAAGCAGATAGAAGAAGAAATACTGGAAGACAACAAGTCGGATGTTGAGGTAATGCAAGCTCCAATCGTTGGGCGCAAGAAGAAAGCCAAAAAGCCGACAACAAACGCCAAACCTTTTGCCGCTGCCTTCAAGAGTCAGCCAGCCTCGCCTAAGCCGGCTACTGTCGAAGAGGAACAACCTGAAGTGCCGACAGTGGCCTCACGGAGAGTCTCGTCAGCGAAGATCTCGGCAACAGCAACGCCTGAACCGGAGCCCGAGCCCGAACAGCCCAAGGAAAAGCGGGAACATTCAGCTCAGTCGATCATGGCTGACTTGCAGCGCACGGGAGAGCTCCTTGCATCGACCCTTGAGTTCTTCAAGCCGTTGTCTTCGTCACTCGCTCATGCCACCCGCTCTACTCAGAACGGTAATGTGTCTACACCTCCGGATCTGAAGCTGCACTTTTCCCAAGCCGACCTTGAGGCGCTTGCGAAGAAGAAGCCAGTACGTCTGAACAGCCAGGACGCAAAGCTAGACTCCAGGACTCTGATTACACCCAACGGCAAGTTCTTCTGGGGGTTGACTGAAGAGCTCGAGAACAAGGCACTTGAGCTTGAAAAGCATATCGAGGAGCTCAAAGGCCATGCCCGCTTCCACCCTCGTAAGCAAAATGCACACGGTCACAGTATGACTACTTCAGCGCATTCAAATGACGTCCTCCCAGCTATCGCGACTGCACTCAAGGAGGCAGGTAAGAAGCTGAACACCAACGGAGGACAGCAGATGCCGCGACTTGACAACTCTTCTGGACTTCTCGGTTCGACGAACCTTCCCCTGCCACCCGTACAAGGACAGGACGCCTCTATGCCCCAGGTCCCTCCTCCACAACAGCAGCAAACACCCGCAGATGCCGGCGCCTACCTAAATCAATACGTTCTCCCGAAGACGGACAACCCACCGCCAAACCAGCCACGTCCCGAGATGGCGGCTGTTGGTGGCGCACCTGGCGCCGGAACAGCGAACATCTCTGTCAACTCGAACCGACTAGCCAAAGCGGCCAAAGCAGTGGTTGAGGGAGGAGCGGTAGGAAGCACAGAGATAGACGGCATGGGATTGATGGCGGCTGACAGGCTTGGCGGCGTGTTTGTGCAGGGTCTCGAAGCGCTCGTGGGTGCTGGACTTGGCTACCAGTCTTCACAAGAGTTTGGCCTTGACGGCAACGGCAACATCACCTTTGGCAATGGAGGTGGAAGCGGACTAGATATGCAGGGGCTGATGAACGCGATTGAGTCGACAGCTGGGATGGGTGGATATGGCAACACGAGGCGAGGAAGAGGTAGTGTGCTGACTATGGAAGAGGCGGAGCAGGCCATGCATGCGGCGAGGAGAGAGCATGACGTGTTGGAGAAGAAGCTCAACGCGCTGATCAAGAAGAACAAGAAGCTTGCGACTGGCGTAGGAAAGTAGAGGTTGTATGGAGTTGATGGGAATCCCCAATAGGTATAGCATAGGTGGTAGGAGGTTTCGACAGACGATATGCTTAGGAGCTATCACTAAATCCAGGTTGTTATTTTGGTAGCAGGATCGTTAGCATTGTGACATGGTATATGCGCGACGGATTTAGCTTGCTCGTATTCCCTCACAGCTGGCGTGTGAAAAGGGATGAAGTCGACACGCGCCTGACGATGCGCCGACGCCCCGATTCGCCAGGGCGCCTCACCGCCAACGCCAACGTGGGCTGGATTTCCAGGGTCCACCAACTCGTTCCTGAAGGCCAGATTCGCAATTGCACTCACTGCACCTTTCTTCTGATCTTGAGACATTCCGACAATCTCTTGATTCCAGCTTGCTTTTTCACACCCAAAACTACGCCACTATGAGTCTGCAACCGCCTTCCCTCTCCATGAGGCCCAAGTCTCCGTCTGGAGGCTCGACCAAGGCCGTCATTCTGGTAGATACTGCCCACAACACCGACGCCGCCATGTATACTCACCGCACTAGGTCGGAGGCCCTTCTCGCGGCACACGCTTCAGGCCTCTGTCTATGGAACTGCCCAAGGTGCGCGACAACGCGAAATAGAAAGCCCCAGGACATCCCCGCTAACGCTGCTCCAGCCGCTCTTCCCCATCGCCGGCCACCCGATAATCGAGCACTGCTTCCGCGCCATCACAAACGTCCCCGAGATCAAGGAGGTCTTCATCGTCGGCTACTACGAGGAGTCCGTCTTCCAGCAATTCATCAACGCCGTCTCGACCAGCTGGCCGCACCTGAGCGTTAAGTACCTCCGCGAATACCAGGCATTGGGCACGGCGGGCGGTCTCTACCACTTCCGCGACGTCATACTGAAGGGCAGGCCCGAGAAGCTATTCGTGCTCAACGCCGATGTCTGCTCCTCGTTCCCGCTGGTGGAGATGCTCAAGCTGTTCGAGGACAAGGATGCGGAGGCGGTAATGCTGGGTACGCGCGTCGCCAACGACGCCGCCTCCAACTTTGGATGCATTGTCTCGGACGCGCACACGAAGCGCGTGCTCCACTACGTCGAGAAGCCCGAATCGCACATCTCCAACCTCATCAACTGCGGCGTCTACCTCTTCGCGACCGAGTGCATCTTCCCCGCCATCCGCAGCGCCATCAAGCGACGGACCGAGCGCCCACGGCTGCTGTCATACCCCTCCTCCGAGAACCTCGAATCCTCCTTCTACCAAAACGACGACGACGATGACAACAAGGAGAATGCTGTTATCCGATTGGAGCAGGACGTCCTGTCTGACATCGCCGACAGCAGGCAGTTCTTCGTCCTCGAGACCAAGGACTTCTGGCGCCAGATCAAGACCGCTGGTTCCGCCGTGCCAGCGAATGCTCTGTACCTCCTAAAGGCCTTCCAGGCAGGCTCAGAAGAACTCGCCGCCCCCTCCGCAAACATCCTCCCTCCCGTCTACATCCACCCCTCCGCGCAGATCGACCCAACTGCCAAGATCGGCCCCAACGTCTCCATTGGCCCTCGCGTCGTCATTGGCGCTGGTGTCCGCGTCAAGGAGTCCATTGTCCTCGAAGATTCCGAGATCAAGCACGACGCATGCGTCTTGTACACCATCATCGGCTGGCACAGCAAGGTCGGTGCTTGGGCGCGTGTCGAGGGTACTCCTACTCCCGTTACCAGCCACACCACCAGCGTCATCAAGAACGGCGTCAAGGTCCAGAGCATCACCATCCTTGGAAAGGAGTGTGCTGTTGCTGATGAGGTTCGCGTTCAAAACTGTGTTTGCCTGCCTTACAAGGAGCTTAAGAGGGTGAGTCCATTAATATCTGTGTTCTCAGCGTGTGCTAACGTGTTGTACAGGACGTCTCGAACGAGGTCATCATGTAAATGACCACGACTGGTAACAGTGTGTTGCTAGTTGGCAGTGCGTGATGATGCGATACAGGCGCATCTATAGAAATTAATCATGATGCGATGCATGACTGTGGTCACTGGATAGAGCGATATACCACTATACTTGAAATGAAGCCGCGATGATAGCCAGAATGATCTTGCACCTTGTGTTTACACGTGTACAGATGCTTTTCTTTGGGCGCTGCTTTCTGCTGCCATGCATTGTTTGGCAGCAAGCTGATTGACGTGCACCATGCGTGTGGTGGAAGATCTTGATCATGAAGAAACAGCGTGTGTAGTCATCAACTTGATCAATTCCTGCGTGGTAGCATGATCTGGATGCATGTCTACCACTATTGCGTCCCGACTTGAACATGCTCAGGTGCCCTAGAAAACCCGCGTCTAGTCTCGATCAGGCATCGCCATCCGAACATCCAACATCTCGACCTTTCCAATCCAACACACCTTTGTACCAACTCGCCAACCTCATCGAACTTTACACGTAGTGCTCATACAGAATCATACATAGTTGCTAACTTCATCTCAGGACGATTGATTGCGAATTACTAAGATCGCTATCGGGTCTGAGTCAGAGGCAACTCGATCCATCATCAATCTTTGAGTTGACAGAGTGCCTGCAAACCGAGGAAGAGACGGTCATCTGACGGAAGATATAATGTCAGATATGAATAAAGTCTCCTATTCAGCAGGGGATGGACATCTAAATGGCACCACATCCACATCTCCCACAGACCTCAACCCCACTCCCGCCTCCGGCTCCCGCTATGATAAGCCCATCGCCGCAGCCCAAAAAGATGGACTACCCATAATCGACATATCCCCCTTCATGGACCCCTCCTCCTCGCAAGAAGCCCGTTCAACAACCGCCTCCGCCATAAACGCCGCCTGCATAAACTACGGCTTCTTCTACCTAACCGGCCACGGCATCCCCACGACCAAACTCGACGAAATCATCGATTTAGCACGTGAATTCTTTTCTTTACCCCTAGAAGAAAAGAACAAAATCAAGCGCTTCGACGCCGGTAGCCCGGAAGGAGGCGACGGCGCTCGCGGCTACCAGGGGCTCGGCGAAAACGTGACGGGTGGTCTGCAAGATATGCAAGAAGCCATTGACTGGTACCGGGACTGGCCCGCCGACAAAAGAGAACCAGGTGACGGTGGACCAGGCAGCGTCAAGAGCCTTCAAGGTGTCAATCTATGGCCCGAGAAACCCGCACAGCTAAGACCCGTATACGAAGAATACATCTCGCGCGTCAAGAAAGTCGGCGAAGCCCTCGTGCACGCCATGGGCGTAGCACTAGACCTCGGTCCCCCTCAAGCAGGCGCAACACAATCGACGCAAGACGAAGAGATCTTCCTGCGCAACTGCTCCGATTCCTTCTGGGTGATGCGCATGATCGGTTACCCACCCCTCACAACCCCCATCTCGGGCGACGAAAACATCGACCAATTCTCCTGCGGCGCCCACACAGACTATGGTTGCGTGACCCTCCTTCTCACAGACCCCACTCCCTCTTCTTTACAAGTCCTGCTCAAAGACGGCACGACCTGGCTCAACGCGGACCCGCTGCCCGGTGCCTTCGTCGTCAACATCGGGGATATGATTGAGCGGTGGACGAACGGGTTGTGGAAGAGTACTAAACATCGGGTTATTCATAGGGGGGAGAGGTATAGGGTTAGTGTGCCGTTTTTCTATGAGCCGAATTTTGAGGCGTGGGTTGAGCCGTTGGCGGAGTGTGTGGAGAGGACGGGGGGCAAGGGCGGGTATGGGAGGGGGAGGTATGGGGATCATTTGTTGGGGAAGGTTAGTGGGAACTTTTATTATAGTATGAGGACTGATTGGTGAGGGTGTTAGTGAGGCGTGGAGTGTGTCAGTAGCTCTGAGATGGATAGAAGGGTATGCGGTATAGTATCGATTAACTTTGTTGTCAATGTGATTTTTAGATGATCGTTCTGGATGTATTGACGCGGCAGTGACTTAATCGCAGATATAGTGACATTGACATACAGATTCGGCACCTGGGCGAACATGTCATCCCGCGACATGCGAGTGATGTGGTCCCTTTCACTCAGATAGTCTGCTTATCCGGCCTGTCGCAGTGATGTACCCAGTCTGTGCGGACACTGTTTGCTCATCCCAGTTCTCACAGTCACACCAGCAAACGCACTCTCACCCATCACCTCCAGGCAATTGAAACACTGTATCGTAGTATATATACGCAATAATTTACTAATATCTCAATAGAATCTGATGGGCCCGTAGCGTATGTCCTTCGCATGTCTACCCTGTCGTGCAGGGTGTGATCCGTTCACATACAGGCTTCGGTTGAAGCGATCTATTTTTGCTCCGGGTTCGAAACTGCCCGCGGCCATAAAAATTCGCATATTTCTCTTTTTGTTTCGCTACCTCCCTCCCTTTCACTTGTCACACAGCCGTACCGCCTCCACAAGATCAATTAGACCCCTCCAACCATCCAAACAGCGCGCTGTGATATCTTTCGCTATCCTGAACTTGGGGACTATGGCCTAGATCCTCGAATTCGATTAACGTCGCGTTTGGAATCCTCGCCGCCACTTCTTTACCCAACACCTCGTATTTACCTATCTTGGCCTGTACATCTGGTGGGCTCCAAGCTTTACCGATAGCCGTCGTATCTTTCGTCCCTATCAAGAGAAGAGTCTTAGGCTGTACCAGCTCAAACTCATACGCAATGGGTTGAGTCAAGACCATATCCGTCGTCTGCGCCATATTGTACGCAAAGTCGATGTTCTCCGGAAACGTTTGGTAAAGTGAGACTAGCATATTCACCCAGACGTCGTATTCCGGCTTCCAGGTATTGACGTAGTAAGTGGCTTGTTGGTACTTCCGGATTGATGTGTAGTTGGTGGCCAGCTCGTCTTTGTACAAGGCGTCGAGATTGCGCCAGGGTACTCCAAGTGCTTTCCAGTCTTCCAGGCCGATCGGGTTCGTAAGAATGAGATGGGATGTTTGCTCTGGGTACATGAGGGCGAATCGCGTGGCTAACATACCACCCATCGAGTGTCCTAGTACATATGTTGACTCGACGCCTAGGCTTTGCAGCAAGAGATGTGTGTTTCGTGCCAGCTGCTGCAGCGAGAACTGGTAGGCTGACGGTTTGGACGACTTGCAAAAGCCGATTTGATCCGGGATAATGACGCGGTATCCGTTGGCTGAGAGACGACGCGCTGAGTCCTCCCATGTCACGCCGCAGAAGTTCTTGCCGTGGAGAAGCATGATGGTCTTATTCGAGGCATAGCTGGTGTTATGGGGGGACACGTCCATGTAAGCCATTGAGAGATTTGCGCGTTGCGACGCAAACTCAAAGTACTGTACTGGCCATGGGTAAGTGTAGTTCCAGATACTGGGTGGAACTGTAGTCGCGCCAAATACCGTCGCAACGAGTTGCGTGAGAAGTAAAAGCTTTAGCCGCATTTTGAAAGTGACGATAGAAACCCGAGACGATCAGATGTGGTTTCGAGAGAGTGTGATGTGGTAGAACGTGAGGTTTCTATTCAAACTCTTGGATTTCTGACATGCATATGATGTGCAATGACGCCTGCCAATCTATCCTGCGTATCGCGACCCACTCCAAATCTTGTCTCTGTGCATTGCTTCGTATTGCGATTTACTGCATGGTGCGAACGCACTCAAATACATTGACTTATTAGCAGTAGCAGACATGTTGAGTCTCGTTCGTTTTGGCATCTAAATGAGATCGCACCTTCCCGTCTACGCAGTCATAGCCGTTACTGTGTTGAGGGTGCTTTTCTACTTGCCAAGATGAAGAGCGTCCGATTAATCCTCCAATGAGATGAAGGATGCCCAGCGGTACGCATGAAAGATACTTTTGAGTTGTCGTGTCGCGCGGCAATATAGGATTCTGTCAATGACCATAGACACAGCCGTCAGAATCGTGTAGATACATCCGCCGTTTCCCTGAAGCAAGGAAGTAGTCGATTACCGGGAGGATCAAACCTGCCAGGTTGTGCCCAGGTGTGAGGGGAACATGGCGACTAGCACCCAACATGGCTAGCACCAAGCTGCGCGTCTTAAACCCCGGAACCCCATCAAATTTCCAGCTTCCACTCCTCCGCTCCCCAGTTCAAGCCACACCCCGCGAACGGACAGCGAAGACATCCACCCCGACCCCTGCATCGTCTAGCATCCATGATGCCATCGCCACGAGGCCGGCGGGCTACATGCAGTGCCTAAACGGCTAAATTACATCGGACCTGAACCTCGGATGAAGATGCATAGACCACTATCGCGATGCTGCGCTCGGTGTGATCCAACTGCAGGCCAAGCGATACATCGATCTGGAAGGATTCACATCCATTGCGATATCAAATGACAACCAAGGATGCATATCATGTCCTCATGTTGAGGCGAGTGCATTGGCTTCGAATACGAGGAATGTTAGTACGCGTTCGTCGTTCGGTAGTATCGTTGCGGTACCAGTCTCCTGCTTAAGCATTCTGCCACTGCCCCTGCCTAGTGATCGATCTACACCTCGTTTCCTGGGGTTAGTCCGTTCTCGAATGCTTATTTCCAATAGCCTCATGTGGAGGGGAACTGCTTGTGGCTAGCGCCACGGTTGTTCATCTGCAAGCACGACGCCATCCGGGTTACCGGTGCCGTATAAGAGGATCAAGATGAACGACCATGGCTCTCCAGCTGTCGATCAAGTCTCTGCGCCAAGCTGGACATTCAAGATGACAGTCATCACCACCCTCGTTGCCGCCGCAGCGGCTGGTATTGTTGCTGTCTCTCAGGCTTCACCAGTGGGATCAGCACCTGCGGTCGGCGTTTCGAACGCAAAGTCTTCTTTGACACTCGTTTACCAGAACAACCTCAACGGCTCAGACGACAAGAACCACATCGGTGCCATCATCCTCGACCCGGTCCCTCAAGCCAATGCAGCAGCAGCCTGTGTCTCGCTCAACGAGAAGCTCATTTCCAAGGCTACGCTCCAGAAGTACCAGGCTGATTTCAATGATGCTCTCTCGTACCAAGATTATGCCAAATACACAGACGCTGAACGAGGGTACTACATCGACAGCGGCGTGGTCTCAGTCGGCAACCGAGTGAAGTATATGTCTGCTTCACCACACCACAAGCAACTCCCAGTCTTGTGCACACAGTCGGCAAACAACGGTTCAGCAAGCGCCGGGCCTGTAAACGGAAGTTCCATCTCAGTAGCATCTGGTGGAAATACTTTCGTCGGGTACCGCAACCAAAAGTCGTTCAGGTTCCTAGGCATTCCATATGCCGACACGCCTACTCGTTTCAAGTACTCTTCACTCTACTCCAAGAAGGGCCAAACAATCCAGGCCACCGAGTACGGCTCGAACTGCATCCAAGGCGGTGGTGGAAGCGAAGACTGCCTTTTCCTCAACATCCAAACACCATACATTCCCAAAGCGGGATCGAAGAAGCAGCTCCGACCCGTCTTGTTTTGGATCCACGGTGGTGGATTTACCGGAGGAAGTGGCGCTGATCCACTCTCTGATGGTGGAAACCTTGCCAGCAAGGAGGATCTTGTTGTTGTCAACATCAACTACCGTCTTTCCACCCTCGGCTTCCTAGCCATTCCTGGAACAGACATTAAGGGCAATTTCGGTATCGCCGACCAGATTTTGGCACTTGACTGGACCGTTGCAAACATCGCTGCCTTTGGTGGTGACCCAGAGAGGATAACCATCGCTGGAGGATCTGCTGGAGCTGGCTCTGTCCGAACATTATTGGGCTCTCCTAAAGCCATCGGAAAATTCCAAGGTGCAGTTGCTCTATCCAACCTCGGAGGAGGCGTAACGCTTGGTCTAGACGGTGACTATGGGACAACATACTCAACCTACTACACGGTCAATCAGAGCTACACCGTCGCCGGACCTCAGATCTTTGCGGCCGCTGGCTGCAACAGCACTGATATGTCAGCCCAAATCGCTTGTCTCGACAAGGTTCCTGCTGCAGACCTAGTTGGCTTTAACACTGTAGCCCGATACGTCGTCCAAGACGGTACCTACGTCAACACGCCCGAACTCATCATCTCAACTCGCAATGCCAGTACCGCACACATTCCTGTAATCTTCGGTACCGTTCTCGATGACGGCGCTTCGTTCTCCACATACCCCACAAGCCCCATCTCAAACCATTCTCAAGGCCTTCAGGAAGCGCTTGGTATCAACAGCACATGGGCCGAACGCGTCATTCAGTCCGGTCTTTTTCCCTTTACCAGCACCGGTAACCTAACGCTCGACTCTTTTAATGTCTCGCAGCGTATTGCCACCGACAAGACATTCCGCTGTGCCGACCAATCGACCGTCTACTCTGCATCGCGATCAAAAGCCTTCTCAAAGACATACTACTACCAACTCGACCGTTCTATCGACGGCTACGATCCCAACAACCTGGGTGGCCCTGCCAGCGACAACCCCGAGAACCCGTACTTCCGCTTCCACGGCGCAGACTCGCCTTGGTTCTTCGGCGTTCTGAACCGTATCCGCGAACCAGAGGATCTGTGGAGTGTTCAACTCACTACCAGCTACTTCGCTTCCTTTATCAGAATTGGCGACCCGAACCCTAGCTTGAAGTATCTTGATGTCAGAGGGTATTACAAGGTGCTTGAAGGTGTCACGAAGTATGGTCAGTGGATGCAGGTTGATGCAACTAAGAAGTCAGGAGATGAGATTAGGCTGTTGGATTGGCCTAGCAAGAGCGCTGGATATACGGATGTGGAGCAGTGTGATTGGCTGGGATACCCTCTGGATTACTACCTGAACGGGGGGATCTGAGTAGCTGGTACTGCTATGAGCCGTGCCCGTATGTAGTCATGTGTAGGAGAAGCCTTCTTAATGCATGTGTAGCCGTCATCAAACATTCGACCAAGTCCCTATCAATGCAGTACATCCGTGACACCTGTAACGAAAGCAAATGATGATCGCAAAGCTAAAATTATACCCTGCTGTTTGGTAGTGCATACAAGTCTTGTCTTTTGGTCAAATTTCGTTGTCCTCTTGCGGGGTGTATCAGTGAAGGCGCCCGGGCGCTCGCACTCACTCACCGAAGGGAGAGTGGACCGTTGCTGCCTGATCAGGGCTAGTACCCACCAGGCGCTATCATTCCTGTTTACGAATTGCCTTCCTCCAGATTTTTTCGCGTTCAGACTACTCTCTCCGGTGAGATATCTTCATCCACCTACTCTAAGCCGCCATGAGTTATTTCGACGTTCGTGTTCGGGAGTCGCTCTTCCAAAAGATCGACGACGGCAAGCGCAAGAAAACGCCCACCACACCTAAGGAAGCCCGACAAGTAGCAAAGATCGCGGAAGATTGGGTTCCGCCCGGTGTGTTTCCATTCTTCCGCCTTCCACGAGAACTCCGCGATACGATATACAAGTACGCCCTAGGAACGGAGGCCAGAGTATTCCGCGCCGACAGTCTCTTGTTGCTAGCCACTTGCCAGACGTCTCAAAAGTACGGTCTCCGGGTTGTGAATGAACAGAAGGAAATCGATGCGGTGAACGGTGAGGGATCTGAGGAGGAAGAGGATAAAGAAGACACAGACGAGAGGAATAAAGAATGGGGATGGTATGAGGGTGGCTACCTAGGTGAAATGTGGAAAGAATATGAATGGTATGAGGGTCGCTATGATATGTGGTACATGGGTCTTAACTCAGCCGTACCGGAAGGTCTTCCCAACTGGCTTCGCAGCAACAAGCAACTCTGCTCAGAAGCACTCCTGTGCTTTAGCGCTACCCGAACGTTCGTCATAATCGACTACTACGATTACACCAATTACACAAAAGCCCATAGTAACCCTCCCGACATGGCTGGCTTGACCAACTCGCTGGTCATGAATAGGAACGTCATTCGCCACATCGCAATCAGGAGAGAGGTCGACCAGCTTATGGACGACGACCCGAAATTCCTGGTCCTTCTTCAAGGCCTGCAAGTTGAAAACTTGACGATGGATTTGGAATGGAGTCATCGTCTCGACTATGAATCGGATGATGAGGATTCGCTAGAAGATTGTATTGAAGAGTGGGACACTTTGGATGTTGGCTATTGGGAGGGTAGGCTGCAGAAGCTGAAGATTACGATTCCTACAAGGCGCGAATATGGAGACGAGGCTTTCCATACGAAGACCTTTGATCTGGCTGAAAGATTGGCCACTAGACTGTTCGGACCTGGCGCTAAGGTGGTCTGGGGCCCTTACGTATATGACAAGAGGCAGGGCAGTATCGGCCTGTACAAGAGGTATCTGACTGTAGAGAAAGCGGCCTAGGGTGTTAAGCTTGGGCATTTGGTGGTGAGAAGAAGTATATGCGGTGAACGAGAGGGCGTTCGATCGAGAGCGGCCATATGTATTGTACTACCTCTGTGCTTCAAGGCTATGGGATCAAGCATCTGCTCAGTAGGGGTGTCATTATCATCGTGCGTTCGATCAAGTAGTCAAATTCTCATGGTGTCCAGAGTTTTTTCAGTGACTTATCAATCGATCGGAAGTCCATCATAGTAGACCCAGAACACCTTCTGTGAATTCCCAAGTAGCCACTTGAACATCATGCCAGACCCGGGAGGTTGTTGACGTCTCGGCATGTATCACTCCACTCACTTCAACCTCACTGACACCCTCCAGGCTCAGCCACTAACCTAATTCACGCGGGTAGGACCGTTGTCGTCTCATATGGAATCAATCGCTTCGGCGGCCTCTTACATGGTTTGGACGGCGTCCAACACATCTTAATCCTGGATATCCTTGGGCTCGGAAGGATTGCTAGCCTGGCGGCTCGCCTCGGCGCTAGCGAGGAGGAAGTCTTCACCTGAGAGCTGTTCACCAGGGACGATCTTGCCAAAGAAATCGATCGTAGCGAATAACCCCGGGTCTCGGATAAGGTCTTTGGTCATTTCCAAGGTTCTGTAGTACGGACGCCCCAATCTTTCATCTCAAGCAACGTATTTGACATCCTTCTTGAGGTTAACCGCGGCGAACGAAGCTGAAATTTACAATCATGCCACTGTTGCGACTTCCCCAGGCATCTACGTCCTACTTTCCCGTGACGAATACGAGTAGTTAGCGACGTTTGGGAGTATGTCAAGAGTTTTCGGGATAACATTCTAGTGTCTATAGCACACTTAGAAGTTTATCATATGCTTACGTAGGTAGCCATATACACTTACTTCATACTCGTGTACGCCTGGCCACATTCTTTGAACATGATAATTAATACGATCTGTTGCACGTCTTCGTAAGCTTGTCTCTTTTTGCAAACGACTAGACTTTGCTCAACCTGATCACGTTTATGATTCACTTTCACTAAGGTACGGTCTCGCATCAAAGCGCAAAAAATAGTAAATCTTGCAGAGTTTCGAACACGAGGCCGCAGAAAGAGGCAAAAAGAAACTCTTACTAAGCCACTAGAGACACGGATTAAACTCCCTAGACTATAGGGAAACATGCGTAGAACACTAGCCAGACTGTTCGTTGTTTCTTCGTGGAATATAGACGAATTAGTTGGTATATATAGAAGAGTTCAATATCTGCTTAGTATTGACTGATGGTGGGCGCCCCAGAATTGTGGAGTTGTTTACATTTGTGAAGGTGAGCGAGCGCTCGTTTGTACACAGGCCATCCGTGCGGTGTAGTACCGCTGCGCAAATACTGTCCCTACAGCAACAGAACATGAACGTCTGATGAGGGCTTCCAAGCATCCACTTGTAAAGCCTTGCTCGTGATCCTTCGATCTAGCTAAATACGAGAACTTGCGAAGTGGTTCAGTGAAAGGAAACCCCCGAAATGGCGCACATATCTAGGCAGCACCCCGTCACCTCGACCTCTATTGTTGTCCACGGACAGGTATTCGACACTGCCAGGGAGGCGACGTCACTGCGAAATTGGGCGCAGATTTTGAGTTGCGCTCACCTTCACCTTCATCTTCACCGCGACTAGTATCTCGTTAGTGGGTATATATCTTTCTTCTACAACCGCAATACTCTCTTCTCCAATCTCACACATCCCCTGACTACATATACTACATTCGTATCTACATCTACGTCTACATCATGGCTCCCACTACCCCCCTCCCGCCGAACCGCTCGCGCGCCATCAAGGTGGAGCTCTACTGCCCCGAGACCGGTGACAAAGCGGACAACTTCCTCATTACACCGTCAATGACACATGACGACATCATCTTTAACATTGAGCGCACACTTCGTCTTCGTGATCAAGAGATCTGGGCCTGCGACATCAATGGCGAGCTACTCTACAATAGCGACATGAACTCCTTCCACTTCAACAATGTCGCCGATGGAGAGAAGCTGCTGATCGGTACTTACGACTACCACCGTATCAGTCCGGAGCCTGAGCTGGAGGTCGTTCTGTATCTTGATGATACATCAGGCCTACTAAAGAGGTCACTCAGGGTAAGTTTCGAGATTTGTTGAGGAAGGGAATCGATTGGTACTTTCCCATTCGCCCACCTACCCAGAGAACTCAGCGATTACATCTACGGCTACACATCGGCCCACTGCCTACTATCCTTATGACTAAGGGTCTACTCATCCAGGCCACACGCAAGGTCCGATCTTTGGAGGAAGACGATGACGACGATGACGATTTCTGCATTGAAACATACTAACGTACCTGCAGGCACTCGGAAAAGAAGCTCTTCGCAACCACATGAGCAAGCTTCGTCGTTGCGATGCCCCCCTCCGCAAGAACGTTCTCCGCCTCGTCAAGCCATACAGCCGTATCGCGAGCTTAATCAAGGACTTCGATTCGGCGAACGCGAAGACACTGAAGCAGAAGTACAGTGTGTCCGCTTCGAAGCGCGACATCAAGAGCTTCTGGTGGATCAAGGACACGGCGATGAAGTTTGAGCCGGGGGTCCTCGCTCTGATCGCGATCCTCGCTGAAGCAACAGCGGGTAACGACGAGATCGCTTCAGATGCGCTCATCGATGCAAAGAAGGCTCGTCTCGACAACACCCCTTGGGGTTCAAAGGAACTGCAAGAGGAAGACGTTCGCGAAGCCATCAAGGCACTCTATGAGGCTGCGGATGCCCTCGATTCCGTGTGGCCGGAGACCAAAGACAACAAGAAGATCACGGTCAAGGATGCAAAGAAAGAACGCTATGCGAAGGCTAGCGGCAAGGGCAAAGCGGTCAAGCGTGATGCTGATCTGGGTGAAGAGGCCTTTGAGGCTGCGCATCCTGGCACGATGGCTTCGCGCGAGATGGATGGTCTGGCCGGACTTATAGGCAAGAGCAAGTTGCCGGATACGATGGTGTCTGATGACTCCGATGAGGAGCCAGTAGTGAAGCCAGGTAGACTTCGGCGTACTTGAAACGTGCACAACGTTGGGGTGGAGATCAGTGCTAGATACGATGATTGAGGAGGGAGACTGGGCTCGTACAAGTAGGGTAGCTAGGTCTTTCGAGTGGACAAAATGAGTAGTTGGAGAATATAAATGGAAAGCACGAGACACAGGGAGAGAAGTTGATACAATGTATGACGATGATATGAAGATGGCGACCATCATCGTCGTTGCTTGTGAGGTTGTATGCCGCAGATCTTCATCAGATGTACAGTAAGACTTCAATGACTAGCCTGACCATGACCAGGGTCCAGTGTGAGTCAAGGCGCATGCTCTTCTTCATTGTCGTTGTGCTCGATGTGCATGAATCATGATTCACCTTACACTGGTTCTCAGCGAGTAAGCCACCGGTTAGCAGTGCCTCTGTGTTGTTGAGTAGTCGATGGCGGACAATCGCCACAGAATCCATGAGCCGGAAGGAGACGTGGAGGTGGAGGCTTAGGTTCGGACGAACGAACGATTTGTAAGGCGGAGGTGGCGTACTTTCAACATGGCAGTACGCAGTTGCCGTTGAAGCGATCTCGGGTGGAAGCCGCGGGGCACGACTGCCGAGAGCGTGTCTTTTCGTACCGCGTATACGATTACGCTCAGCGACATCTCCTGCAGGCCGCGTCAACAATACTTTCATCTCCATACATGCATCTAGCTCATAGCTTAGCACTATGCACCGTCGCGATTCGTTGTGTAGCGCGAGGCCATAGCACCGCCGCGACGTTATGTGTCGCCCGTTGATCGTCATGGCGGAGTCCGGAGCCTCGGAACAGAACTATTTGCGAAGCTACTCCTCGCTGCGCATGGCGCATACGCTGTAGTGAAGAAAAACACGCTGTTCAGGTAATGTAGAGCAGTTCGGTCGAACAAAACGACCGTACGCAGGCTGCCTAACGGCGCGGACGCGACGCGCTATGGACGGCAATAGTTGCGATCAGGGCCCAACGAAGATGACGACATTGTTTATCGCATAACAACAGGGCAGCGGTAGTTACTTTGCGCCAAACGCTTGTCTCGACATCTCAAACATGGTGAAAGTAACGATCACACACTCAATGCCAGGATGACAGGGTCGTATCAAGGTTCTTTTTCGTACCCTTCGTACCGGCAGCTTGCCGAGTGCCGAAAGCGTATTGTTTCGAAATGAGCGCCAACCACTCACGGGAGATGACGCGCCACAACGGTGCCCGCTGACCAGAGCCTTACCGCAGAAAGGCGGTGTCAGCTAGCGACTGCTGTAAACGAAGATGATCTGTCAAGACCGATGATGGCTGAGGGCCTGATGATTCAGGCGAGCATGCGACAGCACTTTACAAACCAAACACGGACAAAACCTCGACGAGAAGAGATGGGACTAAAAATAAAGTTTGATCGTCAGGGCCTTCAGCCACGACAAGTGGCACGCCTAGTAGCACGCCTATGAGGTCAGATCCTCCTAGCTCTTCCGGGCGTTTGGTGCGTTGGAGCCAGGAGCATAGCCGCCTGTGCAGTGTGGGTCATTCCGCAGCCTCCCGTCAGCATGGAGCGCATCATTTAACATTGCCATGAATCCGCATTTGTTCGCGATTCATTTCGCGTCTTCTCAGCCTTCTCACCCCTCCTTTCTTTACATCCATTCGTTAGGATGAAGTATTCTTCTGTGCTGTCTGCTTCGGCATTGACTAGTCTAGCGACCTGTAAGTGATGCGCCTCCTTGTGTTCCTGCAGGGACCCAGCTGACGCATGACAGCATCTGCGGTTGTTCCTCGGGAAGCTAGAGTCGTACCTCCCAATGGCTTGGATTTATTGAAGCGTGCCTCGCCCCAGGCTCCCAACGGCTACGCGCCAGCCGAAGTCAACTGCCCGTCTACGCGCCCGAGCATTCGATCCGCCGACAAACTCTCCCAGCAAGAGACAGAATGGCTCCAGAAGAGGAGGCCGAACACAATCGATCCTATGCGCGAGTTCCTCGAACGCGTCAACATTGAGGGCTTCGACGTCGGACAATACATCAGCAACCACCGTGACAACACTACCGCCCTACCGAACATCGCGATCTCGTTCTCTGGTGGAGGATACCGGGCTCTGCTGAATGGTGCAGGTGCTCTAGCAGCGTTTGACAGCCGGACGACGAACTCGACGAGTGCAGGACACCTGGGAGGAATCTTGCAGGCATCCACATATGTTTCCGCACTATCAGGAGGAGGCTGGATGATTGGCAGCATCTACGCCAACAACTTTACCTCAGTTGAAGCAATCATTAACAAGGGTGAGGACTCGGCGATTTGGCAATTCCAGAACTCGCTGTTCAAGGGACCTCCCACGAAGGGAATCCAGCTGCTCTCGACTGCGCAGTACTACGACAACTTGGTCAGCACGGTCAAGGACAAGAGTGATTCGCCAGCTGGTGACTTCAATACGTCGATTACCGATGTTTACGGCCGCGGTCTTTCTTTCCAGCTTATCAACGCCAGCGATGGAGCCCCAGGTATGTTTACCCACAGATTCTTGAAGTCCACAAGCTAACCCCAATAGCCTACACCTTCTCTTCCATCCAGGACGACCAAGACTTCTCGTCTGGAAATGCACCAATGCCTATCCTCGTCGCAGACGAGCGTTCGCCAGGAGACTTGATCATCTCTTTGAACGCCACCAACTTCGAGTTCAACCCGTTCGAAATGGGCTCATTCGACCCTACAACGTACGGCTTTGCTCCTCTGAAGTACATCGGTTCCAACTTCAGCGAGGGTGAACTTGCTCAAGACCAGGGCTGTGTTGAGGGATTCGACAACCTGGGCTTCGTCATGGGAACCAGCAGCTCCTTGTTCAACCAGATCTTCCTCACATTGAACACCATCCAGGACGTACCTCAGATCCTAGTAAACTTTGTATCGAACATCCTCAAGGGTATCGGTGAAGATGGTGACGATATCGCCGACTACTCGCCCAACCCTTTCTTCCGCTACCACAACGAGACGAACCCCAGTGCTGACAGGGAACGTCTTACTCTCGTTGACGGTGGTGAAGACGGCCAGAACATTCCCTTCAACCCGGTCATTCAGCCCGTACGCCAGGTCGACGTCGTCTTTGCTATCGACTCCTCTGGCGACACCGTCGAGGAGGACGACCCGTCGCAAAACTGGCCAAACGGTACTTCTCTGGTTGCAACCTACGAGCGTGCAAGCGGCACTCTCATGAACAGGACTTCATTCCCTTACATCCCCGGCCAGGACACTTTCGTTGCCCTGGGTTTCAACAGCCGCCCCGCTTTCTTTGGTTGCAACAGCAGCAACGTCACCGAAGGCGACAACATCCCTCCTCTCGTCGTCTACCTCCCCAACGCCCCCTACGTCTTCTGGTCCAACACCTCCACCTTCAACAAGCTCGACTACAGCATCTCAGAGCGCAACGGCATGATCGAGAACGGCTACGACGTCGTCACCCAAGCAAACTCCACACGTGAGGGTGCTTCAAACTGGCCTACTTGCGTCGGATGCGCTATCCTCTCTAGGAGTCTGGAGCGCAACGGCGAGGCTATCCCACAAGTGTGCCAGCAGTGCTTCACTGACTACTGCTGGAACGGCACCACAGTCGAGACATCGCAGCCATACACTCCCGAGCTGATCGTTGGACAGCTCGCCACTACAAACAACGGCGATGATGACAGCGGTGTAGGAAAGTTCGTGCCCAACGTCCTCGGTCTTGCTCTGGCAGCAGCCGTGTCAGGATACTTGATGATGTGAGATATTTTCTAGTTTGCTTTTGGCGACATAGGGATTGGATTCAGCGCGGGTTGAAATATGATACCACCTCTCTTTTGTAGATAGTAATTGAGTCATTACACGTACACCGAATGTTCCATTGCCATTCACCTATCACACGTGCGACATTACCATGCCATGCATTGCGGCTCTTCGGCGCCGCCCGTCCCTGCATCACCGAGGCGTGCCCCGCCAGTTGCGCGCCCATCAAAAAAAGTTACAACCCCGCCACGCTTCACGCACCCAACGCAGCACTCCCGCAATCACCACACACAATGGCCGCCGTTCCGTCGCTCGCAGGCGCGCCCGTACTCTCTACGCCCGACACGCACATCTTCGAAGACCCCACACCCGCCGTAGACACGTCGAGTCTCCCCAGACTTTCCGATGAGCAGATCACGCTCACTTACGAGATTGAGCGGACGGTTAAGGAGATTCGCGAAGGGAGATGGAAGAGGATTGCGCTGCAGTTCCCGGATCACATGCTCACTGACGCGCCGAGAGTGTATGAGCAGCTGAGTCGGGGGCTGGGTAAGGCGAGGAAGGCGCGGGATGGGGTGCAAGAGGAGAATGGACACACAAATGGGACAACAGGTGTGGAAGCTGTCAGCGCGGGCTTGGAGAAGGTGGCGATCAGTGAGGAGGAGAGCAGACAGGAAAATCTCTTTATACTGGGCGACACATCATACGGCGCGTGCTGCGTAGACGAAGTTGCAGCAGAGCACGTCGATGCGGACGTTGTCGTACATTATGGCCGCTCATGTCTCTCGCCTCCTTCAAGACTACCAGTCGTATACGTCTTTACAGAACGACCACTAGACCTCAACCCCGTGCTCGCAACATTCCAAGAAACATATCGCGAAAAAGACGCAAAGATCATCCTCATGGCCGACATACCATACTCGCACCACATCCCCACACTCCACGCACGCCTCCAAGACGCCGGTTACACACACATCCACGCTACAGAAATCGTACATAATCCCTCGTCGCCGCTCCCAAACCGAACGATACCACCGAACACAACAGAAACAGACGAAGCCCTCCACGACTACGCCCTCTTCCACATCTCCGACCCGCCAGCCTCCCTCCTCCTCACACTCTCCTCGCGCGTCGCCTCAATACACATCTACCCCACAGACACGCCCTCCACCACCCCACCAACCGCTTCTCTAGCCCGCACCCACCAAACCCTCATGCGCCGCTACGCCCTCCTAACCTCCCTCTCCACAACCCCCATCTTCGGCATCTTGATCAACACGCTCTCCGTAAAGAACTACATGCACATCCTCTCGCACGTCCAACGCCAAATCAGCGCCGCGGGCAAGAAATACTATACTTTTGTCGTGGGCAAAGTGAATGCAGCCAAGGTGGCTAATTTCAGCGAGGTCGGGGGGTGGGTCGTGATAGGGTGTTGGGAGAGTAGTTTGATTGAGAGCAGGGAGTTTTGGCGGCCGATGATTACGCCGTGGGAGCTCAAGGTGGCGTTGATGGGGGATGAGGAGAGGGTTTGGACGGGGAGGTGGGAGGGGGACTTTCAGAAGGTTTTGGATGAGGGGGAGGGGGATGTGAAAGAGAAGAGTGGTAGTAATGCGGAGGAGGGAGAGGGACAGGGAGAGGGAGATGCGAATGGCGATTATGATTCTGAAGAGGAATCAGCGCCTCCCGAGTTTGATCTTAGGACTGGACGCTATGTTTCGCATGCGAGACCTATGCGCTCGAGTGGCGCGACGAAAGCCGTGAATGGCAATGCGGCGGCGGCGTCATCTAGTTCGGCGCTGACGAAACGAGCGAATGGCGATATTGCGGCTGTGGGGGGCGTCGCGTCGCCTGGTGCAGAGTACTTGCGCTCGAATAGGACGTGGCAGGGTCTAGGTACGGATTACCGGGATGCGGAAGATGGAGAAGAGGGGGCTAGTGGGAAAAGGGCGGCTAAGATGGAAGAGGGAAGGAGTGGGATTGCGAGGGGGTATGTTGTTGGTGAGCAAGGGAGCAGGCATTGAGTAGACATAGAATGACCGATTCGATGCTGCTCATCTGTCGGCGGTATTACTATCTTAGAACTACGAAAGAGTTTGAAACAACAGAACGTGTCGATGCTTGTGAGATGCCGTCGCGCCCGTGTCCATACTCTTCACTACGTCCTCTTGAAAAGTCTCGACGAGATTCTCCTGCCTTCACATAGTCATTGCTAGATCCCCTTGACCAGCGGTCCTCTCATTGCATTCACATTGCAACTCTCGCCCAAGTAGCCTCCATGTCTTGGACCAGCGTGAGGAAGTCGTCACTCTCCAGGTGGCGGTATACGAACTCGTTGAGCGCTGCTCTGCGTCCCTCGTCAGACTGCATCGCATATGTCGCCAGCTGATCGTTTTCATTCACACTACCAGTAGCACCTGGATTGGGCATGCTCACACCACGATGACCAGCAACAGACGTAGGTGGGGTGTCGAAACCACTATATGACATGTTATGGTGAAGATTCTGTGCAGCATTACCTCGTTCCCCAAGAGGTTGGGGTGTCGGGATGGCACTGAAACTTGACCGATTGAAAGATAACGGGGAGGAGATTGGAGACGATGTCAACGGTGACTGATTCTCGATGCCGCCATGTGGAGATGTCTTTGCGCGTGTAGGAATGTACTGATCTTGGTTCGGTGTGCGAGGAGGCTGTTGCATTGGTTGCTTTCCACGTGGGGTCTTGCTGATGACAGTGGGTTGGGGCAGAGGTGGGAGTTCGATCTCCTTGCTGGTTGCGCTTCGGCTGGAACCAGGTCGATTACTGGCTACGCGTGCTGGTAGAGGAGGAGGTCCCATCGTACCAGTAGAGGGTCGCACACTATCGCTACCAGAGGAACGCGGTGAAGATAATCGTGGGAAAGGAAGCTCGCGTCTGGGTGGTAGTATCTCAGTGCTACCGGGACGATCTGCAGTATCGGGACGGTTTGCACTGCCAGGCCGATTGAAGAGCATAGCAGTATCCGGTCGCTCCGTAGACATATGATGAGATTCTTGAAGGTCCGGCATGTGCTGATCTGGCGTATACGAAGAATCAACATGCGAGCGTCCTAAGATATCCGAGGTTGCAGAGGTAGGACGAGTGAACAATACTGGAGGAGCAAGAGGACCTGAGAATGGTGCCGGCACACCACCCGCTTCTCTAGTGTAACCTGTGGTGGCAGAAACTGGACGGGTGTATGATGCAGTGGGTGGTTCATGATTCAAGGAAGCAGAGAAGTCATAGCTAGTGGACGGTCGACTAGAGATCTCCGCCAGTCGTGAAGGAGGACATGATGGTCCACCCATGGCAGGGCTCATATTAGGCAGCTGAGGGTATGCAACAGCAGTTAACCTTGGCCGGGAAGACGATCCTCCTCGCGCCGGAGATGGTGGCTGAGCCGTAGACCTTGGCTGAGACGGGACTGCCTTTTGGCCGCCCATATAGAGACCGAGATGAAGGAGGTGGCTGAATGCGGTGTCGAAGTCTTTGTCTGACTTGAACCTCATCTGAATGCGCCTGATCTTGTCGTTGGCCACTTGCCATTTGATAGCGAGCAGAGGGCAGCGCACGATGGCGGATATGCGTAGGTGGTCGGGCTGCACCTGCACTCCGCGCTCTTCACTCAGACGCGTAATGTGATTGCCTTCGTTGATCAGTCTCTCGATTTCGATGGTTTGCTGTCATCCAACGGTTAGCTAGCACATCATTTGAAGCGGGTTGGGTAATCAGTCATGCATGCGTCGTACCCGAACCTGCGAGCCTTGACACAGTTTCATGAGCTGAAGACCCGCACGCGCACCATAGCTGTCGATGATCAATGTGAGGTCATTGGTCTCTTTCTGCCAGTTGAACCTCTGCTCGCTGGCGTCGGTGTCCTGTGCTGTTGACAAAGTCTGGAGCGGAAGGGATAGCATGATTGTTAGCAATGCTGTTTGTTAGTCGAGATCAATAATCGTTCATCTGATAGCATATGTGCGATGAGCCGTGTCGTCTTAGAAACACGTCGAGGTCGCGCACTCAGGTGTTGAGGATGTGAGAGATGGTCGAAGGAAGTCGCGACCGCACCGCAGTCACATGATGTGGTCCGTGCGAATCAACGCGAGGGACCTGGTGCAGTCTGGAGTTCTGGTGTTCGCCCATCCATCATCGCGAACGACGCGCGCCGCGCATTCACGAGCAGGTCCACCATTGCGCCTGGCACACAGCTGAATCCACGCATGCGTCGCGACCCGTGCCCGAGCAGTCCCGAGTAAATGCGACAGCCGCACCATGGCCCCAAACAAACCAGAGGAACAATCTGTCGAGCGCACCCAAGAACATGAAGACTTCCTGAATACCTTGGCCGAATACCACGAAAAGCGCGGGTGGGTTTTGTTCTTTGTCTCGCCGCAATGAGCGCATATTGACCCGACGTGTAGCACTGTCCTGGACCGCGAACCCAAGGTCGGGAGCCGGCACATTGACCTGTTGCGACTCTACAAACGCGTTAATGAAGAGGGAGGGTACGATAGGGTTTCAGATACCAAAAACAACAAGCTTGCGTGGCGCAAAATCGCGACTGAGTTCCTGCCCAAGAGCCCCAGCATCACAACCCAGGCCTTTTTGGTGAAGACGGCCTACTACAAGAACCTTGCGTACGTGAATCGTGAAAGACAACTTTGCGCCTACCACTGCTGACGCCTGCTCTAGCGCCTACGAAATATCCACCGTTCACAAGCGCGAACCCCCGCCGCCCGAAATCCTCGAGAACGTGTCTGCAAAGGGCGGAGACCTGCTCAACCGGACCGTCGACAACTTCTTCCCAACCAGTAATAGAGAGGCTGAACGATTAAGGGGAGAGGAAGACTCCGATTCCGAAGACGACGTCGAGAAGACACCGAAAGACGACAAGATGGACGTGGACGAGCCCGGTAGTCTTGGGCGGTCGACAAGGTCCCTCCGCCATGCGCCGCCGCAGCGAGTGCTCTTCCAGCCCGAGTCTTCAACCCGACAGACGCGCCAATCGACAGGCCATCTGACTTCGTCGCAAGCCAACGGCTACGGTACCAGCGGAGCAGCCATGACGATCGCGAACTACGAGCCACGGACCGCCGTACCAGCCACCATGAAGCCCGTCGTTACCCCGTCCAACTCCCTCGATACCTACATACAGTCGCGCAAGAAGTACATCCTCAACAAGAAGAACAGGCCGGTGCCGCTCAAGGGCATGATGTTGCCCGGAACCGGCTTCTCAGGGCCCAGCATATACATCCGCGCTTTGAACGCGCTGCGGTCAAAGGAGCCTGAGGAGGAGGCATACGCACTGCACCACCTGGTCAAGATCTCGCACGAGCGAGGAGACAAGTACCGTTTCGATCAGTTCCCGGGGCTCGCAGATGCACTCATCGCCAAGGTCATTGACGTGTCCACACTGTTCTTCGATGTGAACTGGGACATCTCATACGTCGAGGAGGACTTTACTCAGCCGCAGACCCTGAACGGACTGACGGGCACCCGCGACCTGTTGCAGCGCATCAAATCTCTCCGCCCACTCGACATGCACGACAACCTCCTACCCGAACAATCTGCAAAGGCCCTCACCATGATCAACGAGGCTGCGCTCATCATCCGGAACATGGTCATGCTGAAAGAGAACGCCATCTTCGCGGCCTCTGTACCATCCATCCAAGACATGATCGTTATCGCACTCAACCTGCCCCGCCACTCCACCATCGTGGAGCTACAGCATTACGCCCTAGAGATTGCCGAGCAGCTGACAAAGTACTGGATACTGGACTCGCAAAGCCCGCTGTATCGCTCTTTGCTCGCCCAAGTGGATTCCGACGACCGTGGCCGCATTATCACATCGCTGAGAGCACTCGCCCGGATAGCAATGAACCTGGAGGCTACAAACAAGCTCTCTGACGTGCCAGTCAAGACCCTCAAGTCAATCTGCGACTGGCTGCTAGTAGAAGACGAGGATCTGCGCATAGCATGCCTGGACTTCCTCTACCTCTTCACTGGTTTCCCCGACAACGTGGAGACACTTGTACACGAAGTTGACATTGAGGGAGTGGCAAAGCAACTGGTACGTTTGCTACAGTACGGTGCAATTGCATACGAAGAACGAAGGAGTGCCGCCAAGACGGCAAAGACCTCTGCACCCCCAGAAAATGCGCCTAAGCTCTCGTCTGCAATCATAGACCATCTCGTGACGCTTGATGAGCCAGAGCGTAGCTCGCAATGGCTCAAGACGTGTTTCGAAGAGGATGCTACTGGCGAGATTACTCAGATCCAGCTCTGGTCGGCCTACAACGCAGCCTTCTCAGAACACATGACGAATAATCCGGCTTCTTTCAAGGCGCTGATGCCAGCTAAGGACTTCATCACGAATGTATCGACGACGTTCGGTGGCGCCTCCGCTCAGGTGTTGACCGTGGGTGGGCAGCCCAAGTATACCATAAGAGGCATACGGCCACGATCCGTACCAGTCGACCCAAGCACCAAGAGGCCATACATGCGCTGCTGCTGGCATCCACCGAGCCTCCTGAATGGCCATGCCGACTCGAAACATTCGACCGCCAATATCGAGTGCGGCGAGTTCGCTTCCGGAGCACGCTCCATGTGGGAACACGTTGTCAGTGTCCATCTCCAAGTTCCTCGCGATCAGGAAACCGGACAGTGGCTGCTTGAGCCAAAGCTGGACATCAAGGACATTGTCAATATCGAGAACGGCGACACCCCAGAAGCGACGAAATACTACTGTCATTGGGGCGGCTGCACTCGATTCTCGCCTGACGGCACGGAATCCGCGTTCGAGGCCGGACAGCATGTCAAGACACATTTGCCTGATACGAGTATCAAGCAGGCCATCCACGCGAAACACAACCGCACGCCTTCAGAGTCACGGCCCTTGACTTCTTCCGCACAAGCACGGCATGAGAACTTCCAGCCCCAATTTGGACAACCGGTCGGGTTGGGTAGCTTGGGTATGGGTGGGCGACATCAGAGTTCATCGACCAGCTCTGCAAGCAGATACGGCGGTCGAGATGATGCAGCAGGGGCGCAATCAGCACCCAACTTCCGCTACTACAACACGGCAACCGACGATACGAACGATGCCGCCGGCCTCCCCCTGTCCTCCGTTCTCGTCCTTCGTAACCTTGCCCGGCAGCTCAACAAGATCCCGCCCCCAACCACTGTCACCGACATTACCTCGCCATCCTCCCCGGCTCACAAGCGGACATTTAGCGCCAGTGAAGGAAGCCCCGAAGCCGCCAGACGAGCCACAGCCGGCGGCAAGAAGCCCCGTCTCAGCGACGCAGCGGCGGAACAAAGACGAGAGAACGAAGAAAAGGAGGAAGAAGAAGCCAAGAACGCTGGATGGGTTCCCCGCATCTTTGCTCCGCTGCGGGACCAGATCGCCTTCACAGCGAGCCATAATCTTACTCTCCGGAACTATGTCGGCGGTCTACTCAAGGCAATCGCTGAAGGTGGTGGTTAGATGTAGTAGTATGTGTTTGTAAAGCCCTTGCTGCGTGGCGTTGGTGAGGTTGCAAAAGGCTGTTTCCGCTTTCTTCTGTATGAGCGATACGGTATTGTTTGGAGTTTACTACATTTGTACGCGAGGGTGTGTACGCTTAGATATCTGGGTAGTTTCATGATACCGCTTCGACTGATGAGTCGAGTGTTGGTATGATTATTACACCGTCGCTTCAACAGGGTCCTCGTTGTCTTCAAATTCTTCGACTATCCACTGTCAGTATGTTGCATTTTATCTTAACACATCCTAGGGTGTAGTGCACTTTACAACTGCAGCAACCGTTTACGTGTCGAAGGGCAAACTTGTTTAAATCGAAGTCTTTTCAATGGAGGTGTATTTTAACGACATGCTCCTTCCAATTCGCCGGAACGCCTTCTCCATCCATCAAGCCATGCATATATGTATCCCCGACGAGTGTATAGTGACCTCTAGTCTCATCTTCAGTTGCCCGGAGGCAGAACGGTACGCGTCCTCCCAACAAAATAGCAACGGAGTCACCAGGCAGCATCTCCGGTGGGCCTACACCCATATAACCATCCGTCGTGATAAAGAACCTCCGATCAAAGCCCGACGTAAACCACGACTCATAGAAAAAGCGATCGTCGCTAAGATCGTCGCCATGTAGGCTTCCCGCGGCATCAGGATTCATCGCTCGAGCTTGACACCACGTCTGCAAGTTCCGTCCCAAGCGCGTGACATTGGCATTGCCGAATCTCTGTGATTTGTTTCCTCGCGAAGAGTCATTGGACGAAGCCGCGTGGTTCGACGGAAGCGGTTCCCAGCAGTCGGTCGTTAAGACACGCCAGAGCGCTTCTTCCAACGACTGATCTCCCAAAGCGCGGAAGACGTTTTCCTTCTCGGCCTCGATCATGCGATAGCATACCTCAAGAGTGTCGATAATGTTTTTCCATGTAAGTCGCTCCGTATGTAATAAGTGTGAGACTTGTGAGATCTTCTGGCGTGGCTCGAATGCGTCTACCGTGAGGATATCCTTCCTTCTCTCGATGTAGGCTGCCGTTCCGCCCGCCGCTGAATACAATGCTGAGCGATGTAGCTTGAGTTGGGCGACTGCGTACTGTGTTGGTGTTTTCGGGCTGATTTCCACGACCCAAGATGGTATGCCTGATACGCCGGCCATGGTTCTACCCATCAATGCATCCAACGACCGGGTACCGCGTATATCCCTGATGGTCGCTTGAATGAAGACTTCTTTGGGGGAGAGACTGTAGTCAGGTATTATGGGCGATGTACCTTGCCAGTCTGTTACGAGGCCTAGTACACCGAACACATTATCTCTGATATTCGTCGCTTCGTGCAGGTGTACTAGACGCATAACCTGACTCAGACACAATCGTTTGCCTCGTTGTCTGAGCCTCTGGAGGGCTACCGCGC